GCCCTTCTTGATTGAGTAAAAAATGGGAAAAGAGAAACCAGGCATTGGTTAATGAAATAGCAACTTCCTTAGGCTGGGCAGACACCTCTTGGGTATGCTTCAATATTCCAGTGTTGGAGTGTGTTGTTGTTGAGAATAAAGTGAAGTCTTGTTGAGAAGTCTTATTGTTATTGAGACCCCTGAACTGGGGAAGATTGCTCAATTCCAGCACACTCTTCCTCATGGGATTTTCCAGTGTCATGGTTGTATCCAGGTGCCTTTAAAAGATTCCCCATGTTTCAGATCCCCTTGGCACTTAGGTGTAAAAGGGGGTGCCTATTAAAACAACTAAGTCCAAAGTAAGAGGGAGACCTCACTAACTAAGGGTGTCTTGGCTGGAGGAGGGGGCGGGGTCCTCACACACCCTGGTCTTGGGTCCCATTGGTGTCTGCTAATGGGTTCTTTTCTGACGACAATGAGCAAAGCATTTTTTTACGGTTACAACCTACCTTTGCTGCACACATATACTTGGAAGTTAGAGTTAAGCTAGTTGGCAATCAGCTCTGAACCCCCAAGGACTTCCGCCAGAAGCTGTCACCACAGGCAGAGGAAAAGCTAAAGATACAAGAAGTTTTTGACCACCACTGTTGACTTGCTCCTTCTATTATATCCTATTAGCTTTACTGCCCCCCTGCTAAGTTTCTAGGACATATTAGTGACAGGACATAGTAATGGAACGAAAAAGCCCAGCCAGCTTACAAATTTCTTCTGGTCTCCATTCTTATCTTTCATACGGACGTGTATAGCTACCATTTACTGAGTCAGGCCATTGGCTCATCTAGCCAGTCTACTCCAGGTGGCAGCAGCTCTTCTAACTCTGAAGCAGAGGTGTTTCTTAACCCTGCTGTCCAGGATTGAAAAAATCAAAGATGCCAAGAATTAAACCTGGCACCTTTTGTTGACAAAGCATATGTTCTATAGCTAAACTATAACATAATTCTAATTCTAATCCTAATTCCTGGGTAATAGACCTTTTTATAAATACTGGTTTAGGAATCCCATTTTACTATTGGTTCCAACTGTTGCAAAATTTATTTTTGCTTAATTTTTGCACAGAGTAGAATCTTTTTCATTGAATAGGACATGACCAGATGAAAGCTGGTGACCTGTTTATAGGGACAGCTCCTAGAGGAGGCTTTCTTTGTTTTAAACAAGCAGAGCCAAACTGCTTGTCATGAGCAGCATTGGTGAATTGGATCCAGCAACACATGGCCGCAGATCATCTCTGCTGTCCTCTCCCCCAATCAGTCCTTTGTAAACCCAGGAACGTTTATTCCCTGGGTTATAAAACTTGTATGGAATAATGGCCATGTGGATTGGTGGACTGCAGTGAAGAGGGAGAAGGGGGTGAAATTGCTGCCTTGTTTCTCTTCTGTCAGCAGAGCTCTGCTGATGAGAGAGGTCAGAAGGGCAATTTTGCCATCCCTCAACAATATCCACCAAGCTATTTGAAACAAATCCACTTGACCAGGTCTGTTAAACACAGGTGTTCATATTTACTGTAAGACAATCTTCATAGAATCATAGAGTTGGAAGGGGCCATATAGACCATCTAGTCCAACCCCCTGCCCAATGCAGGACCAGTCTAAAGCATCTCTGACAAACATTCGTCTAGCCTCATCTTGAAAGCTGTCAGTGAAAGGGAACTAACCACCTCCCTAGGCAGCTGATTCAACCTTTGAATCACTCTGGCCATGAAAAAGTTTTTCCTAACATCCAATCAATACTTTTCTGCATGCAATTTAAACCCATTGCTTCAGGTCCTATCTGCTGCCAACTGGAAACAGCTCCTTGCCCTCCAAATGACAGCCTTTCAAATATTTAAAGAGAGCAATCATGTCTCCCCTCATTCTCCTCTTCTCCAAACTAAACATTCCCAAGGCCCTTAGCCTTTCCTGTAGGGCTCAGTCTCCAGACCCCTGATCATCCTCATTGCTCTCTTCTGCACCCTCTTGATTTTGCCCACATCCTTTTTGAAGTGAGGCCTCCAGAACTGCACACAGTGCTTGAGTTGTGGCCTGACCAAGGCAGTATACAGAAGAGCTATGACCTCCTGCGATTTCGATGCTATGGCCCTTTTAATACTACCCAAGACTGAACTAGCCTTTTTTCCCACCGCATCACACTGACTGCTTATATTTCGTTTACAGTCCACTCTCACCCCAAGATCTCTTTCGCATACAGTACTCTCCAGAAACATATCCCCCATCCAGTATTTTTGCTTGACATTTTTGTGGCCCATATGTAATACTGTGCATTTATCTTTGTTGAGTTGCATCCTGTTTGCAACTGTCCACTTTTCCAGAGTTTTCAGGGTCTTGTTGAATTTTAACTCTCTCTTCTTGAGTGTTTGCTACTCCTCCCAATTTGGTATCATCAGCAAATTTAATCGGTAGCCCTTCTACCCTTTCATCCAGATCATTGATAAAAATATCACCTCCCTCCAATCTGATGAAATGCCATTGACCACCACTTTTTGGGTGCAGTCCTCTAACCAGTTCCCTATTCACCGAACTGTTCTATAGTCCAGTCCACAGTCTTCTAGTTTGTCCATCAGAATGTCATGGGGACATGTTAAAAATGTGATTTTTAAAAAAAATATTGATGTATTATGTTGATGATGTTCTACTCCCTGTTATTAAAATGTATCATGCTTTACTAAAGCTTAGAAAACTTTAGCTTTTTGCCATACAGTACGATTTCTGATGAGATCTTAAATTTAGACTTGATAACCTAGGACAAAATCCAGAGAACTGTGTGACTTGACTTGTCACATTTAGCAATGTCATGATATTTAGAATTTGGAGATGTTCCCTTATAATTATAAGTATGCTGTAAGGTCACATCACCTTGGTTTGTTCTAGAGCAAGGCGGTGTAGCTGGCATTTGAAAGTTGTTTGAAGCCACTCCTCATTCAGTTAGTCTCTGTCAGCCTAGGAAAATTATGATCAGGTCGGTAGCCTCTCATTTGTGCCTAACCATGCAGATTCGTTTTAAAGAGTAACAAAATTTCTTGTAGGATATGAGCTTTTGTGAGAGCCAGCTTGGTGTAAAGGTTAAGAGTGGCGGATTCATATCTGGGGAACCGGGCTTGATTCCCCGCTCCTCTACATCATGCAGTTAACTGGGTAACCTTGGCCAGTCACAGTTCTCTCAGCCTACCTCTCAAGCCTACCTACCCTGTTTCCCTGAAAATAAGACCTACCCCCAAAATAAGCCCTAGCAGGATTTCTATGCATTTGTGGTATAAGCCCTAGTGTGTCTTCTTGAGAAAAAATAAATATAAGACAGTGTCTTATTTTCGGGGAAACACGGTACCTCACTGTGAAACTCCTTCAGGTAGTGAAGAGCAGGGTATAAAATAAACTCCTCCCTCCCTCCCTCCCTCCCTTCGTCCATCTATCCATCTATCCTATATATTGGAAAGTGGAGTGGAGAGTCAAATGACATTAGCAGGCAAATGATTGGATTAGGTGTGATATGCAGAGATGTAGTTGGCACGGAGAAATCAGCATTGGTAATAAGACAGGAAACCTAGATCTCAATTCTGTCCAGGTGGATGCATTGTCTTGAGCTTTGTTATCACTTGCAATTCAGCAGTCTCTCTTTCTAATCTTCCTTTGAAATTCCTTTGTAGGAGAATTGCTACTTTTAGGTCAGCAGCTGAATGTCCTGGAAGGTTAAAGTGTTCCCCTACTGATTTTTTATTGTTGTGGTAGAAGGGCACTGCTAACACGTGATGACATAAATCACATTAGAGAATGAGCAGAAGTATGAACCTGAGATGGTGTGGCTGATGTTGCTGCTGAGTCCACTGATGGTGTTGCTAGGATCTATATGAGAGCGAAGTTGGCATCTTGGTTTGTTGTAGGCCTTGGTACCAGAGTCCATGTTAATTAGTTTATCATTGGGGGTGAGCAGTTGTTTTAAGTCAACAGGCTGTCTGCAAGCAAGAAAAGGTCGCCCCCGCCCAGTGCCTGAGTGAAGGAAGTGTTCAGAAACCGCTGTTCTAGATCCACCATGAAAATGTTGCCATACTGTGGAGCCATGTGGGTGTCCATGGCTGTGCCATTGATTTGGAGGTATAAGTTCTCAATTTCTCACCAAACCTGAAGTAGTTATGGGTGAGAACAAACATGTAGAGTTCAGTGGTAAGATCTGCTGTGGTGTTGTCAGGGATGTGATTTAGGAACTGAAATCACTACACTTTCCAATATATAAGACAGATGAACTCACATTCTAGCTGTACCTGAAGCAATGACTCACAAAAGCTGATACCCTACCACAAATTCTGTTAGCCTTTAAGATGCTGCGGGACTCTTACTCTTTTCTTCTGCTACAAACAAACACGGCTACCCATCTTCATCCATGCAGATTCATGTGCTTCTGCTTTGAGTTGTAGATTCTCCCTTCCTTCCTTTCTTTGTTTTTACCCCCTATTTCCCATTATGACAACTTTAACACTGACCATGATTAAACAGAATTTGAAACCAAAATGGAAGCATATGGTGGAGGCAGGAATATTGACGTCCCTGGCCATATCTAAAGAAATTCTGTGGATTAT